TGTGACTTTGTCTTCTCTTCCCCCGTGCAGAGTCCTTGAATGTGACCCACAGTTTGGGTTCGAGGAGGCGAAGAGGAAGCTGGAAGGTAGGGGTGCCCAGGGTAGCCTCAGGGGGGACTTGGCCCAGCAAGGGAGGTGAGGACCCAGCCCTTGGAGACGGGAGTGGGTGGTGAGGACAACTGCCCCCGAGGGGCCGCGGTTGACTGTCCCTGTGTCCCCCAGGGCGGCCCTGGCTGGTGGACTGCTATGACAAGTGGCTCCAGAGACTGCAGGTACCTGTAGCTGCCCCCGTCTGCCCCGCGGCTGCGGCATGCACAGGGGCCCGGGCAGCGGGACCGGCCGGGCCCTGGGGTGGGGGGAGCTGCCGGGCATGAACACAGGGCGGGGACAGGCGCGGGACCAGGGCGCCAGCCAGGCCTGGGCAGTGTGCCAAGGGCTCCTGGTCTCCCCCACAGACGCCAGTCTGAGTTGACCGTCCCCCGTTTAAGTCGGACTCCCGCAGGGACCGCCAGTTAGGTCGTTTGGGCCGGCGGTTCTGAAGACCATGGGCTGGCCCTGCCCCCAGCGCCCTGGGGCCCGGCAGCTGCAGCCGCGGGGAGCGGAGTGCGGGCTCTGAGAGGCTTGGACGCGCTGTTCCCAACTAAACGCCCTGGTTTTGTCTTGCAGGGGACCCCTCACAAATGTGCCTTAATTTTCGCAGATAACAGTGGAGTAGACGTCATTCTGGGAGTCTTCCCCTTTGTCAGGGAGCTTCTGTCTAGAGGGACGGAGGTGAGTGTGAGGGCCACGCGGGGCCCTTGCCCAGCTCCTCTGCTCTCGGTGGGGGTGGCACGCTCCTCAGCGCGGCAGGTAGGTGCGGGGGAGGCGGGGGCTCGGTGGGGAGGAGGTGACCGGCCAAGAGCGTGTGTCACAGGGCTCGGGGTCAGCCTGTCCCAGTGCCTGGGCTGTCTTCATCCTGATCTGGGGGTCACTGAGCAGTGACGGGTGCCCAGGGGCCGTGCTTCACAGCCGCAGCCCTGGGCGGGCACAGCCTGGCGCAGTGCCGGGCGGCGGCCAAGGTCCCTCAGAAGCCCCGGGTGTCTGCCGCAGGTCATCCTGGCGTGCAACTCGGGGCCTGCCTTGAACGACGTGACCTATAGCGAGTCCCTCATTGTGGCCGAGCGCATCGCAGCCATGGACCCCATCATCCAGTAAGCTTGGCAGGAGGCTTGGGGCCCATGGCGCAGGGAGCGAGGGGCGTGGCGGGAGCTTCTGGGGGCCGGCTCGCGGGGCCAGCTTATGGCACCGGCCCCTTGTGCCCGTAGGTCGGCACTCAGAGAGGAGAGGCTGCTGCTCACGCAGACAGGCTCCAGCTCGCCCTGCCTGGACCTCAGGTAGGTACCTGTGACGCGTCGGCCCGGGGCCCCACCACGGCCCCGAGCACTGGGTCTGCCTGGCACGGGCTGGGGGCCGGGGGCGGGGCTCCTCCGCTGTAGCTGGCGGGCTGTGCACCCGAGACCCTCCTTGGACGAGTAGGCCGTTGCTTCTGTGCTGTCTGCCCTGGGGCTTCTGCACACGAGCTGTTCGCCACCCAGAGCCAGCACGTGGGGGTGGCTGCATCAGCCCTTCAGTCTCTGGTGGTGACCCCGCTGTCCCCTGACCCCTCTCCCAGGCCCACTCCTAACCAGCAGGGCAGGACGATGAAGCTCCTGAAAAGGAGCAGAGTCCCTTTGAGGCTAAAGTAGAGAAGTGTCGCTGAGGCCCGGTTTTCAGCAGAGGCTGCCGCTGCTGCTGGCCTGCTGGGCACGGAGCCCACGCAGCTGGAGGGGTGGTGGGGTCCCCTCGCGCTCCAGGCTGGCCGCGGCCATTGGTGGGAGGCACCAGGTGTGGCCTGCACCTGCCTCACTGTCCTCTCCTTCCCTGAAGCCGCCTGGACAAGGGGCTGGCCGTGCTGGTGCGGGAGCGCGGCACAGACCTGGTGGTCATCGAGGGCATGGGCCGTGCCGTCCATACCAACTACTACGCGGCCCTGCGCTGTGAGTGCCTCAAGCTGGCCGTCATCAAGAACTCCTGGCTGGCCGAGCGGCTGGGCGGCCGGCTCTTCAGCGTCATCTTCAAGTACGAGGTCCCGGCCGAGTGAGGCGCCCGGCCCGCCGGACTGCGCTGCTCGTCACTGTCAGACGTGTTCCGAGGACGACAGGGAAACCGTGTTCAAGTCAGAATGTTTATGTTGTGCTTCTGCGACTCAGAGCCCCGTGTGCTGGATGTGGCCACACGCTCGTGGCGCCGGGTGCGTGCTGGGGACACGAGCTCGTCCCGTGGGACATCGTAGTGGAACATATTTAACTGTTACATGATCTTTTATATATATATCTATATAAATATATACTATATCCCTGACAGAGGACGCTGGCTCGAGGCACACACCAAATAGAGTTTCTAGAGCGAGACCGAGCTGTGTGCCTTTGCCGTTCGCTTGCTGGGAGCCGCTCGGTGGCGGCTGGGCCCCTGCTGTCCCCTCCTCCTCCGAGGCCGAGCGTGGGGCCTTTTTCGTCAGTGGCTTCTAGAACTCCTGGGCCCACTTTGCCTGTGGGCCATGCCCACTGCCTCAGCCCAGCTGCGCACGGGGCCAAAAAGGGCGCTGAGCAGCACACCTGGCCCAGGAGCCGGCCGAGCGGGGGCGCGGGCTCCGAGGGCCCGAGGGCCGGTGGCAGGCGCACTCCTGCCCAGAGCCGATCAGAACCCCTGGGTTCTGTCGTGGCCTTGAGCCTGTGCCCGCTGCTCCCAGGCTTCCCCGCCCCCCGAGCTGGACACACCCCTCGGGGTGCAGACAGGATCCACAGATGCCACATCAGTGCAGCTGCGAGGCTGTTCTCTATGCCAGACCGAGAAGGGACTATGTGAGGTCTGTTTCTAAGGAGGGTGGAAGCCCCTGCCCAGATGGGCTGGCTGCGGGTCCTGCCACCGTGGCCTTGGGGACAGGACTGCAGCGTGGCACAATGGAGCAGCCTCTGGCCCAAGCAGGCCAAGCCGCGCTAGGGCCCCCGGGCGCCCAGCCCCGGAGAATGCAGACACGCGGGGGCTGGGGCGGGTTGAGGACTAGCTCGCCTGGTGTCGCCTGCAGGGACCTGTGCACGTCCGCCTTCCTGCCTGCCCTTCCCTCGTCACTGAGGCCCCCATGCAGTTGTTGTCCTGCTGGCCGCAGAAGCCGGGTGCCACGGACCCCCTTCCGGGAAACTGCTCCGCAGTCTGGGACATGCAGCGGCCCCATTTCGACAAAGGATAGGGCCCGGGTGTCACTGCCATTGCCTTCCATGTTCTCGTGTGGGGCCATGGCCGGTTCTGCAGCCTGCCAGCCCCGCTCCATCACACCCGTGGCCCTGCCAGCAAGTGGCTCCCACAGCCCCCGGACCCCAAGATGACCCCGAAGCAGCCGCTCAGGCGGCAGAGCTGGAGCCTGGCACTGCCTCAGGCAGCCACCAGAGGGCGCAGCCAGCTAGAGGGCCCTGGCGAGGCCACCTCTACCCACGGTCTTGCACCGTATCCGCCTGCACCTCCACTCAGCTCAACCTGGCCGCCTTTGTGCAGCCTCCCTGGCCCCTCCTCGCCCACCTGCCTTTTGTCCTCTGCTCCCCAGTGGTGGAGGGGTGCTTGCCTGGCGTGTCCGGGGTCCCCAGTGCAGAGGGGCCCAGCCCAGCCCGGTGGCACGAAGCCCCAAGGGTCTTCCCAGCTGCCCGGCCTGGCCCTCAGGAGGGAGCCACAGCACCGCGCCCCTGAGCATCGGCTGGGCAGGCCGGGGCGGTGGGGGGGCCGTGGCTCTGAGCACAAGCTCCTGAACACTCCTCTCTCTCCGGTCCCTCTCCCATGATAGACACTTTGCCCCTTACCCAGCCGGAGCAGAAGGATGTTAAGAACAGCTCCCGGGAGGTAACTGTGGTTCCTGGCAGCGTCCACCCAGGGCTGGATGAGGGCTGGCCCCCATTTCTTAGGAGGCAGGGCGCCGTCCTGGGAGGCCCAGCAGCCAGCATCCCACTTGGGCTCAGATGCCCCTGGCTGAGGCCCCCCTGCCCCCTGCAGTCTGCAGCCTACCCCTTCACTCCATCTGAGACTAGGTGCCCCCCCACACAGATGCTCCCAGACCTTAGGAGGGAGGAGGGCCTGGTGGGTCTTGGGAGGCAACGGGCGAGCGACACCCCTCACTCAGGCCTTCGCTGAGCTCTCCCACAGTGAGGGAGAACACCCCCAGAGCACCCCCACTAGCCATCACTCAGCCTTCCAGCCACCGTGCCCGTGTCCACCTGCCCCGAGAGGGGGTGCTTCTCCTGGCAGTGGGGCCTGGGGCTGCCCCTTGTGCCCCAACCAACACCCCAGATTCTCCATGGAAGGGCCAGTCCTGGAACCTATGTTGGGATGGGTGGGGTAGCGGGGTAGGGGGTCCCTGGCCAGGGCCAAGTTCTGCCCCCAAGAGTGGGGATTGGAAGGAGCAGGAGGTGTACATGGGGGTCGCGGCTCCACCCTGGGGGGCTGGTCCAGCTGAGCCCTCAGGAGCAGGTTGGGGCTTCCTCTGGGCCCTTCTGGCACCAGCCACACTTCGTACGAGGCCACAGAGGGAACGGGCGGGCGGGGACCAGCCAGCGGCCCCACACAGAGCGGGAGAAACGCGCTTATTCAGAGTCACGTTCAGGAGTTTACAGAGTGTGACGCGTCCCATACAAAGCTGGGTTTGTGCGGAGCAAGCCAGACGCAGCGGGGCGGCCCGGGGTGCGCACGGTGGGCACACGCGGCACCCGCACGCACCCACACAGCTGGAGACCAAAGAATCCTGGGACTCGGCACCGTTTTAATGTAGAAGTTTTGTCCCTAAAAATTTAAATATCTACGTCTATGTTTTAAAACACTGTGAAGCGCCCAGCCCTGGGGACGGGCTGCCGTCCTCCCAGGAGGCGGGGCGGGGTGGAGAGCAGGGGACAAGCGCACCCCATGTCCTGAGCAAGCAGTGGGCCCCCCAGGGAGGGCACCGGTCAGAGTCTGAGCAGAAGGCCAGCTGCGCTCCTGGCGGGGGCGGGCGCATCCCTGCAGCCCTCCTGGCCCTCTGAGCAGGCTCCCTCAGGGGTGCCCCGCTCCTCCGGGGGCCCCCACGGGCCCTGCAGCCGCTGCCGCTCCTGGGCCTGGCGCGCACGGCTGGCAATGGCCCGCACGCGGCTCCGGC